CTATGTTTATTGCAGCACTATTTACAATAAGTAAGCTACAGAAAAAAATGCCTAAAAATATATGAATAGATCAATAAGATGTGATATATATATACACAATGGAATATTACTCCATAATTAAAAAAGATAAACTCATGCCATTCACAGCAACATGGATGGATCTGGAAGCAATCATGCTCAGTGAAATAAGGCAGAAAGAAAAAGAAAAATACTGGATGGGTTCACTTATAGGAGGAATATAGAGGAAACAAATAAGGGATCAGGAAAAAAAGTAACTACAATGAACTAAAAATCAAAATCATGAGGTAACTGTGACCCAGAGACATTCTGCAGGGAGGGAGGGGGAAGTTGTATCAAAACAGGGTTGGGAAGAGCATACATCACCATGTATGGTGATGGTACATGGGTGAATTGGTGGTGGGAATTCCAAGGGGACTATACGTGAGATGATAAAGCATACATTGTATATAAATGAAGAATGGTGTAAAAAATATATAAAATAAAAGAAAAAGAAAAAAAACTGATCAAAATGTAAGGGACCCCAAGAATAAGTTCCCAGGGATTGTATCTCTCTCTCTCTCTCTCTTTTTTTAAAGATTAATTTATTTATGCATACAAGCACTGGGTACAGTCAGAAGTGCGGGAGGGTGAGAGAATTCACCAGAGCCAGAGCGGGGAGCAGAACAGGCAGACTGACGAAATACACTGCTGAGGGGAGCAGCGGGCATGGCAGAAGAGGTCTGCATGCCATATGGGACCCTCGCCGGCGGCCAGGGATAGAACTGGCACTGCAGAGACTGTGGGCATCTTCAAAGCCCAGCGCTCAACTGCTGCACCACCAGGGGAGGCCCAGATGATTTCCCACAAAACAAAGGAACTGGTAAATTAATCAAACAAAACCTAGAAATCTGACTGTAGAATTTGTTTACGGGGGGGGGGTAATGAAAGCAAACGGTGGAGGGGAAACAATTGGTCGTGTTGGAGGATTACAGCCTCTTTGTTGGTATATGGGGGGACATACATCTGAAGAGGTATGAACCCATAACTTTAAATCATATACAGTATTTTAAACCAACATTACCTCAATAAAATATAACAAAATAAATCAGTTGTTTTCAAATAATTCTTATTTTTGCTTATTGTAATGACAAGAATGACAACTTTTAAGCCCTTTACATATCAGACCATAAATAAGAAGTCCTCTAACTTCCCATCTCTTATTGCATATATCTGATTTAATCAGATCTTTTTTTTACTTCTCATAAAATATGACATTCATTTTATTTGCCTTTTCTTAACTTTCCAATACTTTTGAAACATTTCACCTTTGAGATTTTCAGTTTTAGAACATCACTGCAAAATGTCTCAGAATTCTATTTTCTTAGTGCTAGGATTTATTGGGAGGATGAAAGTTTCACATAATGGAACAATGGAACTCTTCTACCGCATTTCCTGTTTATAAGAAAATAGAAGTTTAGCCAAGTAATGTATATAAAGTCTGTTTTCCTATAGAAGTTTCTGAGTCTTTGAAGCTCCTAATAACATCATATAAAACAGAATTTGATTCCATTCACTATAGATTGATTACTGAGTAATTGTAATAATGATAAATTATATATCACTTATTATATGCAACTCACTGCTAACAACTTTTCCTTTATTAAATTTAGTTTTCATAATAACCTTAACAAGTGCATATATTTTTATTACCACCTTGTAGATGAGGAAACAAAGACTTGGAAAACATAGGTGACTTCTCCAAAATCACATGGTGATATGGAATTGAAAAGATGGAGAAACCAAACCCAAATTTTTGTGACTACAGTCAATATTTTTCATTAGTTTGTTACATGGCCTCCCATATACCACTACTCTGTTACATCATTTTTCAGTCTATCTCTTCTCTATAAAACCCACCTTTTCAAATGAATCCATTTTTAAATACCCTTCTGATTTTTTCTTCTTAAACCTTATTGAAGACAAATGGACTATCCTTGCTAGCCCAAGTTGTTCAGTGGATCTTGCATGGTATTTTTCTCAATACACCCAATTTTGGTAGGACAGTATACATACTATTGGTGAGTAGGTGGTTCTGCTGCAATGGATTGAGGGTAGAGGCACTCCCAAGGCCTGGCTGGCTAGCCAGGGCTGCATGAACAATTCCATGTTGGGGTACAGGAGCTGGAGGAGACTGCATCTTATCCTTATCCCAGGAGGATTCACTTCCACCTGAAAAACATGCATACGAACAGATTATAATGATTATAATCTGACAACTTGTATAAGTTTCTTTTAAATCTCCCTTTTAGTCTTCTTATTATTAATCAATATTAATTCTCATTATTAATATTAATTCTTAGAAAATTATTATTAAATATAGATAATTCATTTTCAACAGAACTTCTAAAATTTTAATAGCCTTGAATTTAACTTGCCTGTGGGAAGTCTAAGTAATATTAATAACATAGGTTCTCTTGACTTACAAATAGTCTAACCAAATCTGGAAGTATAATGAATAACTTTTGAAAGAATTTTGTAGTTGAAAGTCATTAATTGAGCACCACTACCTTCCATTCCAACTCTCTAACACACATGCGTTATATTTTAATGAAGCATAGTTGTTCAAAGAAAACACATTCATCTATAAGATCACAAAAACATGCAAAATATGTGGTAAGAAAAAAACTAGTCAGTTATTTGATTCTCAGTTCCAGCACACAAAAAGCTAATCTCTTTATACACAGCAGGCTTTTGTACAAAATAAGCTGGATAAAACATAAAACCATGGCTTTAATTTGAAATTGTACTTTAATTTGAGCATACATGCTAGATTGTGAAGTAAAGTGTGCATAAGTAAAGGTTACTATATTATCATAATTTTCTACAATGGCACAGCTATTTCATCTGTCACTTAGTATACTATAGGAATAGAAACATTGTTTAACACCATATAGGAAAATAACCAAAGAATGATTTCCAGGGCATGCTTTTAAGGTGAAAACTTTAAGCAGAGGGGTAAGGGAGTAAATTCCAATCACTGCAGCAGGAATGTAGCTTTAGAAAACTTGAAATGGTTGCATGGGCAGCCCCATTCATTTGCTTGATGTGATTCATTCATTCAAGGGACAGTGGTTCTGCTCCTATACATTTTCTGGTATTTTGATATTAGTATCGTCACCTCACCTGTCTGACCCTGTCCCATCTGCTACCAAAAACATTGCCACTATTTGGGGGCAGGGAATGGTTGGGAATCTTGGGCACTCTGTAAAACATGTGCATTTGCTTTTTTTTAAAAGATAGAAATCAACATGCTCATATTCTTAATATTTAATATTGTTATTGTTGGGCCTCTCTGGTGGATCAGGGGTTAAAGACAATGCTATCAAGGGATCACCAGTCACTGCAGCATGAGTTTGATCCCCGGCTGGCCAGGGTGCAACCCACATGGCACAGCAGACCTCTCCTGCCTTGCCCACTGCTCCCCTCAGCAGTGTATTTCAGTACATCTGCCTGTTCTGCTCCCCACTCTCTCTAGTTAATCCTCTCACCACCCTCACTTCTGGCTTACACCCCAGTTCTTGTATGCATAAATAAATAAATCTAAAAAAATTAAAAATAAACTTCTTAAAAATATACTGTAATTGTTCTCTCTGACTTTTCTCCCAGGTTTTGCTCGAATGGATCCAAATTTTAAATTGTAAACACTGCCATGTTTCTTCATAGCATATTTACTAAGTATATTGCTATATATTGTTATACCATGTTAATGTACTATAATTTATTAAACATTAGACTTTGAGTTTGTTTCAAATTTGATACTATTATAAATTATACAGTAATGTTTCCTTAGAATCATTAAATGGACCTCCTGGGTTAGGATTTCAGAGTTAAAGAGCTAAATATCGCTATACTTTTACTCTAAAGTGCCACATTTGAAAAAAAAAAAAATTCTTGGAATTGCAAACTTTCAGGAAAATTTTTTTTGAGACCAACTGGTACTTCCCATGAAGATTTAGAATTTTCTTAAGCAAAATCTCTGCTAGAATATGTGAGAGGCATTTTTTTAAACAGCTGTACCCAATTCAACTACTTTTACCCAACCTCTAAAAATCTACCTCCACTTTCAAAAATCCTTGTGGCCAAAATTTTTTTTTAATATTTTATTTTATATAATTCTATACATCATTTTTCACTTTTGCTCTATATATGCATTTTCATTTTGGTTATATTCCCCATACAATTGCACTCCCCCTTATTTTGACCCTAATCCTTCCTCTCCCCCCCGACCCTGTAGTATGTCTCTGGTTTATAGTTGCTTGTTGATTTTGATTTTTACTTTGTGGCCAAAATTAATCTCTAACACAAAGGTGGGGGTTTTGACCAGTATCCAACTTGATGAGTTCCAGACAAGGAAACACCAGATTCTTTAGCAGCATATGTAAGTTTGAGGGGCCCTTAGCTCTGCCTAATATGGACAGTTTTTCCAGTCAAACAGGGAAGAAATATATAGCTAATTGTTCTGCTCTTGTTATAAGCTATTCAGTTAACAAGCATGAAAGCTAGAAGGTACGGAATTTCGTTAATTTGATAGAATGGCTTAATGAACCAGAAGCAACTCCCTTGATCATGTTGAGGTATGGTGTGTTCATTGAAAACATGCAATACTCCTATGATCACATCTATTGATCTTTCATTTCATCCAGATACTTGTTGTATAGCACTTCCTAAGAGCAGGGAGGTAATTGTATGGTTGCTGCATTGACAAAATTTAGCATTCAAAAATTTGATTCCAATTCAAATCAATAGGACATTGTTATGCCTTAATGAACAAAGATGGTAGAGGAGAAAGGGGAGTATCTTAATGAATGATGAATACAATCCCATTATGATATGGAAAATTAATTATAGTAACATAGGGGCAATAAACTTAATTAATACCAGAAAATTAAAAAAAAAAAAAATGATGTGTCAATTGCAAAGCAACAACAGAACCACTTCATTTTAGCACTCTGTCCAAGACAGGAATTACCTCACCATAACAAAACTGTATTTTGTAAAATGATGAACAAAACATTGATAAAGATACAGATTGAAGGCCTCCTGGGTGGCCTAGGAATTAAGTCTCAGGGCTATCACCTCTACAGTCTGATTTGGATCCCCGGCCAGGGAGCTGCTCCACATATGGCACAGCAGATCTCTCCTCTCTTGCCTGCTGCTCCCCTCAGCAGTGTATTTCAGTAGATCTGCCTATTCTACCCCCACTCTGTCTCTGGTGAATCCTCTCACCTCCCCCACTGCTGACCTACATTCCAGTTCTTCTATGCAAAAACAAATAATTTTTTAAAAACAAAGATACCCATTGAAGACACTATATTATACCATTGATATTAACATGGTATTGTACTATCATAGTAGAAATGGGAAAACTGGATCTGAGACTATGTCAATATTTTATAATTTGAAAATCTTTCAGTCAATATTTAATATCAAATGGTAATAGGAGTTATAATTATGAATTGGAAAACAATTATATAAAAATTACTTTTATGAGAATATCTGTTAGTTATCCAGTCCAAAAGCAAGGACTCCAATATAAAAAATATATATGTTAATGAAATATTATCCTTACTTTCAGAAACAACAAGTGTTGGCAAGGACTGGAGAAAAGGAACCCTCATACACTGTTGATAAGAATGTAGATTTGTCTCACAACTATGGAAAACTGTATGTATTTTCCTCATGATATTAAAAATATATCTACCATATGATCCAGCAATCCCATTCCTACATACATCTCTTGGGAAAAAAATGCAATAGCTATTATTCAAAGTGATCAATGCTTTCCTATGCTCATTGCAGCATATTTGCAATAGCCAAGTTAAAGAAACAACCTGAGTGGGCAATGGCAGATGAGTGAATTAAGATGTGGTATTGATATACAACAAATACTGCTCAACTATAAGAAAGGGATTTAATTCTCGCCATTTTCAGTAACTTGAAAGGAACTGTAGTTGATTATGTTAAGTAAAATAAGTCAGAATGAGAAAGACAAATTGAGGCTTCCAGAAGGAGAGGGGGATTCTGGAGAGCAAATTGGGGAGGGGCCCTCTTGTACTATGGTGGAGGACAATGATGACTTAGTGTTAGGTGTGATGTGGTAACACAAATTTGAAGATTGTTAAACTATACCTTAGAATTATATACACTGTTGTAAACCAGTTATATGAATAAAAATTATAATAAATAAAAATATAATAAAACATGGAATGTTCTATTCACCAATTTGTCTTTCCTTTGTTTTTAAATATTACCTAGGAACTGCCATATCCTAGGTCTATGGGCTAGGAGTTTTGAATTTTCTCAGTGATACAGGACTTTATTCTCCATTATATTTTTTCACATAATACTAACTAAATTTAAAGTTAATAAACTAGAAGAGAATAAAATGAAAAAGTCTGCTCCCTCATTTATACTATTCACATTTTAAGTGCTCAAAAGCCACATGAAGTAAGTGGTTACCAGATTGGGATATGTAGATATTGATCATTTCCTTCATTATAGAAAGCTGTATTATTAGACAGTTCCATTCTAGAATATAAGTAGCCATTGTTTAAAATAGTTTAGTGCACAGGGTTATCTATAGTGTCTTCAGTTCAACATGTCCAATTTTAAATTAAGAATGAAAGGAGTCTTGCTCCTTTATTCTAAGAGGGAGTTGCATGATTCAATAGTTTTAACTGGAAAATTTTGAATTCCTAATATGCGTTAGGTGCTATTACCAGGGACTGAAGATACAGAGGTAATATACAATCCTCGCCTTCCAAGTTCTCTTGATTTAATAAATAGCATTGCCATTTTTGACCTCTTCATTCACTTCTTGCTGAAGTGGCCAAGTCTGTTTGACTTTTTTAAAAAAAATATTTTTTTTAATTTATGTAACATTTGAATCCCCCCCATACGGTATCATTGCCATGGTGCACCAACCACCAACCACCAAATCATCCATAGTCCACCACCATATTCTTGTGTCTCTCATCCTTTCCCACAGCCTTCCCCACCTACTCCCCAACTTTCTTACCTACCTGCTCCCTGGATGCTTCAGTTCTATAGTCAGCTGTCAAGGGTCAGTTTTTAAGCTTCTATTTCTCTGATTCTTATTTGGTTTGTTTATATTCCATATATTAGTGACACCATCTGGTATTTATCTTTATCTATTTCACTTAGCATTA